ACGGCGGGCGACGTCAGGGCTGAAACATGCCAGATTGAGGTTTGCGGGATTCGGGACAAATCGGGTAACGACCCGACACTTCCGGTTGCGAGGGAAAGTGCCAGGCACGCGGGAGTGCTTAGAGGCCCCCATCGTCGACAGCGGCGTAGACCGTGCCAGGAGCAGGGGGCTCGAAAGAATAGACGGCAGCCGAGTGGTCTTGAGCCGCTTGAGCCCCGCAAGGCGAGCACACACCGGTGTCGGTGTCATTCGACACGTCCCCAGACACGTATAGCGTCGTCTTGGCGGGGGGTGAGGGCAGCACGACGGCCGTGTATGGTTGAGCTGCTTGAGCCGCTTGAGCCCCGGGGGCGGCAGCACACAGGCCACGTCGACAGCGTCTTTGGACGCATCCGTGCTCCGGATCCGCGAGTCTTCGTCTTGCCGCAGCAGGGCCGATGACTGGGCCAAAAGCTCCACAAGTGCGCCGTACATGAGCCCCCAGTGCAGTTGCACGAGCATATGCCGAGTTTTGAAGATTCCGAAAAAGTGACATGATTGTAAGAGATCAACTGAACTTTTGACCGTCTGGGAGAGGCTGGACGAAGCCGAAAACCACTGTCTGAGGCTCGCAGCTGCGAAACAAGGTAATCTCTTTGTAATCTCCCCCTGTATTCCCTCTCCGCAAAGTAATGGCCCTAGTAAGCCCGGTTTTCTCGCTCCCCGCCTCGCGGCATTCCGAATCGAAGCTGCCACAGATAAATTTCGTCTCCCCTGCAACATTCCAAGAAATCTTTCGATGCGACAGCCGTTAATGTGTCAAGTTCGACGTCGGTGGGTTCGGTCAAGCGCGCTCATGACGTAATTCCTGGTCCGACTGGTCGAACCTAGCAGGTTCGGGTCATATTCATTGTCAGAATCTTCTGGCATAGGCCAAGAAAGTCCGGATGGCTGCGCCGCTTTTCCTCCGCCGAAATATCGCTATTCGCATCCATTCGACAGCATTACATTACAACCCTTGTTCTTCCGAGCTGGCCCGGAGCTTACAGACGCAGATAATAACGCAGGACGCAGCTTTCTCTACGTCGGGAACACTTACATCGCGCAACTGGAATACTCATCCTTACGGTTCTTTCCCTTTGTTCAACCTGAGTATAACGTGAGTGTCGTTGCGTGCATCACGCCAACGCTGATCGGCTCCACAGATGGTCTCCCGGCTCTTCTTTTCTGTCGTATTCTTGACATATGCTGGTCTTTAACGTGTCAAATGGCGCCACAGCCCTGGAATCCCAGCTAGTTCGGATCCAAGTTCGTTCTGCCGTCTCGTATAATTGCGGCAAGGGCTGGTCAGAAACGATATAAAAGGGTGGCCGGTTCTCTCTCATACTTCACTCGAACACACTCCTTTGCAGTTCAAGCCCACTCTCTTTCAAGCAAACATGTTCCCCAAACTCTCTCTCGCTGTCACCGCGGTGCTCGCTGTAAGCTTGCCACAGCGACCGGTGTGCATCACAGAACTAACTATTGTTTTGGGTCTAGACCCTTGCTGTCGCCAGCCCCACCAGCCGGACCGACTCTTGCCCTCCCGCGAGCACCACTCAGTGCTGCAAGAGCGTCCAACAATCCAACACCCTTGGGATGACCACTCTCCTTGGCCTTCTTGGCGTCGTCGTTGACGCTGTCGTGCCGATCGGGTTGAGCTGCTCGCCCATCACCGTCGTCGGGAACAACTGGTATATATTCCATTCCGCTGTGTATCCCCTTCTCAACCTGTTCTCTAGCGGGAGTACCCAAGTCACTTGCAATTCTCCCCAGTCCCAGACCGGTTCGTAGCTTTTATATCCTGTATCTTTCCTCGTCCTGACTGACATCCGTCTCCGCCTAGGTCTCATTGTGATCGGCTGCATCCCCATCACCCTCTGATTGACGAGGAGGAGATATATACCTTTGGCCGCAAATTCGACGAGGATTCGTGGCTCAATGCGGGGTCCTATTGTTCAATGCGGGGTTCTATTCGGGTTCGAGTCTGGTGTCCTCTTCTGTCGGGACGCTTGTTTCGTATTCAATGTCGCGAATATAATTCATTCTGGTCTTATCTTCCTGGAATAGTTTGAGTCTATTACGAGCTGCGTCTAGCTTTCGTCACAACAGCTTTTACAACTGTGGTCTCGCCGTGGATGTTACTATTAGAGGAGGCGGCCGGCTTGTGAAGTTGAGGCACAGACAGCACAGTAGGTGAGTTGGGGCTGAAGTTGAGGCAGAACTTGAACTTAGGATCTTAATTCTGCAACCCCCTATTGAATCCTCAGGCCTTAGACCCTAGTCTCATATTTCCATTCATGTTCAGAAAGCAATGATTTGCCTTTGACCCTAAGCAAGCCCGTTGCTTTCAGTTTCCACTCGCCCACTGAATCCCAGTGGACTTTGCCGAAAATAACTGTGGTTGAAAAGGACAGAGTCCCAACAATCTGCCAGGTCAGTTGGTGATCATCTCCCGCAATTGGAGACGCTGAACATCCTGGCAATCGCATCTATGATCTGGCGATGCGTGAGCGTTTGAACTCCAGGGTAACCTTCATTCTCCGCGACTATATTTGCTCGCTGGAACCGATCAATCCTAGTACGCCGTTTCAGATGCCTTATAGTCCCCATCTCCTGCTCCCACCCTCTAAGGCCTCCCTTACCTGCCTTCGCTTCTCTCTCCCGTCTAACTCTCAGCACTCCATCGACATACACCCGATTCTGCACCTCGGCCTGTCTGACCCCCACATCATTGCTAAATCTATTAGTCCGTTTCCCTCCTCCGCCCATGATTTTCGTTTTCTTATAATTCTAAAATCTCGGAATTAGACTTCTTGAAACCCTGCGTCCCTATGTCGCTTGGCGATTTTTGTAAGGAGAATTCGTGGGTAACCAACGCAAACTCATTCTGACTTTCAGTTATCGACGACGAAGAAGGCGACCACTTTATATATGAGCCTGCGAATGCCTGGTTGCTCAACAGAATTGGCGGATGTGACAGCTGCCCCCCACCCCTCATCTCTGGCTTGGTGAGCGAGGGCTCCTTCCATGGCGCGCTCTTTGTCAGTGAAGGCTATGTTGCTTCTCGATTCAGCTGTTTACTTGGCCCCCCCAGAATCCAAGAAATAATGGGGATCCGGGATCAGTGCCCTCAACTGCAACCGTCATTTTTTCCGGTGGGCCGCCGGCCGTCACGATTGTGTCATATTAACGATGTTCTTCTGTAGGAACCGCCGTGACTGTAAATTGTATCCTCAGTAACGCATTATCGAATCCATCGTATGTCTGCGCGCATTTCGATGAGGATGTGTGCTGACTCCAAGGTGTGCAAGCGGAAACAGTACTCTAACCTTCATTGTGGATGGGATCCAGAGAGGAGACTTCCTCCATACACCGTCAGGGAGCGCCGACCTGGTGCCTAACACAGTCTTCGCCTCGGGGCCACTGGAGCTTGGGAATCATACCCTTGAAATCCGCAATGGAAGAATCGGCGGAGGATCTTCTTTGGTTCTCTTGGATTTCATCACATACAAGTGCGTGGTGTGGATACATCCACATATAAATATGAATGCGATCTTTCCAGTTCATCCCTACTTGGTTCTAGTTCCCGAACGTAAGATTGATTTTGTAGCACGTCTTCAGGCCTGACACTCCAGTAGTTCTTCTGTGTCTCCAACGTATGTATGGTGGCTCCGTGTAGCATCTAATTTCTAACCGGGAGATCACTTGCAGCATTCCCGCGTCTTCACCCGGGGCCCAGCAGTATGCGAGGTCATTCAGGAATGATATATGACTGACTCCGATTTCACAGATCTGGCGAGATGTCTTCGAAAATCTTGAATACCCACAGGTTAGTGATCATATTATCGCAATTATTAAAGCTCATTTTCTTTCCAACATAGGAGCCTTAAAATAGCCGTTGGAACCGCAGTCCCCGTTGGCTTGCTTTTCATCTTCGTTTCGTTGTTCATTTGGGTCAAGCGGTGGCCTAGACACAGACAGGAACCCACCATGGAAATCAGCACGGTATCTCCTTTCATGAAAGCCTATGTTCCGCCGTCAAGGGGAGCATATGCTGTCACAGCGCCCCGAAATCCAGGTATCGCTCCATCCAACTACTCCGACAATCGCAGCATCATGGCCAGTACGGTTCGCCGACAGTACCTCGAACGCGAATTACGCGCCGCACAGGAGAAAATCATCGACATCAACGACTTGGAGCGACATAATTTTCCCCTTTCGGGAACGGTGCCGACCTCGCGTTCAGAGCGGATTCGTCGTCTGTTCCCGGTGCGCGGCAACTCGACGCGACGAAATTCGCAGCAGGTGCCCAGATCGGAACTGGATGCGGCACGGCAGCGCAATGAGGAGCTGCTTGCGCGCATACGGGATCTCGAAGCGCAGATGGAGTCCGCATGGGCATTGGGGCTTTCGGACGAGCCGCCTCCGGGGTACAGCGATTAAACCAGAGTGTTGTGGTTAATTTCGGACGAGATTGGACTGAATGAACGGAGCTGGCTACTGTCACGAAAATATACAGTTGCGCACGCTGAAGGTATGCATTTTTGACCGTGGGAAATCTTGGTTGGTTCGATTCCCCTCTCAGATTCAGCCTCGATGCGTTCAAACGTCGCTGGTTCCAATTCATGTTGTCTCTCAATATGGACCACCCTCTGCCAACGTGGACTTTGGCCTCAATGCGCAAATTGGAGAGCGATATAAACGGTGTTTATCATCGCAATGAAAAGACTCGTGGTGAATGGTATCGCGCTCGCGGTCCGTTTAACCTACATCCCTGGTTCGAATCCAGGCCGAGTCGTAATGCGAGGTTCAGACAATTTTTGCTTGGCCCACCGCCAGGAACGAAGATAAATTTCAGTGCTTTCAAACTAACTTTGTTTCACCCCATGGTGGAGAACTAAATATTACCGGGAATAACTCAGTCCGTCAATCAACGAGCCCAGGTACGCGTGAAATGGTATTTCCTATCTGCAAGGACAGACCCAGTGGCGAATGGTATCGCCCCTGCAGCGTGTTCGAGGATAGAGCTGGGTTGCAAGCCGGGAATTCTTGGTTCGAATCCAGGCTGGGTCGGTACAGTGTTCATCTTCTTCTTTTGGGTTGTACGCAACCCATATCTCAGCCGCCTGAGAGCGAGACACAGTAGGAAGCAGCGATTGAGGGTGGACTTTGTTTTCTGGTCCCTCCCGTGTCTGACGCTGTCAAGTAAGAAAAACTTCAATTAGCCTCAATTCTCAACTGGTTGAATGAAGTTCAGATCTTTTGCGGCAGGGTCCATTTTCATGAAAACCGTGGCACCGAAAGAGGACCTAGTAGCGAATGGCTAGCACCCGGGCATTCTGAACCGTTACCTGTAACATTTAACATGAGTTCCGGGTTCGAACCCAGGTTAGGTCTTCTGTAATTTCTGCAGCTGTATTTTTGTTTCGATATCCAGGTTGAATGGGTCGTTCCAATTCCTGCTCAGCCCGATTCAATTCAACCAATCCGGGTGCTCCACTCACATGAAACAGCGCCATTCACCACGCGCAATGGAAAGTTTCCATCGGATTTCCATGCCTAAAGCAGCACAAATCATAATTACGACACATCGGAAAGACAGACCTAATGGCGAGTAGATCGCACCCATGTGTTGTAGGAGCCCTAGGGCGCGCGTGGGGGAGACTTGGTTCGAATCCAGGATAGGTCGTAGGGTCTCCGGCATCACAATTTTTTTTTTGATCATGAATTGTTCTGGCTTCGATTGGCAAATCCGGATACGGCGCAGTCTTCAAGCTTCTATGTATCCGATTGCGTTTTGCATCTCCCGATCTCGTCTGTCAGAACCCAGTTCAACCACAGTTCACCTTTGACCGGTCAATGTTTGGTTGACTGCCGAATTGGTTCAATTCCGAAGGTTGCAGATCCAGGCGAGGTAGCTGACACCCAAACGCAGACCTTCAATTCTCGCTTGAAAAGACTCGGACCTGGTTCGAATCCGAGGCAGATCGTTATCCCTTTCGCCCAGCTCTTTTTACCGGTTGAAAAAGGCGAATGCGCCCGTTCACCCCTTCAACCATGATTTTTCTCCTAACGCCGAGTGCACCGCTAACCCCGCTGCAGATGAGCCTAAATCCGGCAATGTGCCAAGTCGCCGCATGTATGCTGTGCTGTAGCCGAACAAAACTATCCCACGATCGCCAATCGCGGCGTTCTTCCTCTTTGCTTCCCCTCCCTCCTCGATGCTTGGACCTGGCTCTGGATAGTGGACGACGCGTAATTGGATCTTGTTGTGAGTCGGATGGTTGGATGGGTGTGTATAAGAAGGGGGAGGACTGACGCTTCATCGAAGAAAAAACAAGAATACCCGAGGAACCTCGAGGGAAATCTGCTCTCGTTTCTGTGCTTGGGATATAGCCTGTACATGTGCGTGCGCGTCCGCGTTGAGGCTTGCGTTGCAACTGACCTGACAGTCCGTCGGATTTTGATTCAGCGGCGACACAGCAAGATACAGCTGCCACACGCCTCTCTACGTCCGTTCTCGGTGCGATTTAATTACCGCAGATGGTTATACATACTTTGCTGATGGGTATAAAATTCATCTAGCTCAAAACAAACGCTATCTGGACGCGATCGTACTGCATAAGCGGACGCCACACCATTCTCACCGCGGTTTCTGGTCTGCAGCGGCTTAATTTGCGCGTCCTGTCCCAGTCTCAAGATCTCTCTGACTTGAAACCGAACACTTGACGAACACTCCTTGTTCCATCGGTAAATCCGACTGGTTCCAGATAGTGATACTGGGCTGATGACCGTCTAGCTTCATCATCGTTCCCAAACACACCGCCTGCACCGAGGACACGCTAGCGTCCGCGTGTTCTGATTTGCGACGACTTTAATTAATTGTGGCCTGCCCGACTTGCCCGAGTCTTAAGATCTCTGGCCTTGTACACCAAGCTACTCCATCGGTAAATGCGACTTGTTCTAGATTGTGATACTTTGGATGTTGATCATGGATTCTCGTTCTAGATCTCCATCGCAGTCCTTGAAAGATCGCGCTCCCACTTCGTACGCTGATATGACGCTGCCTTTTTCGCCATTCCTGATTTTGGGACAGCTGTAATTGCCGTCTGAGTCTCAAAGTTCAAGTTCAAGCCGAATACTCAACCTTGACGCCAAAAATACGCGTTTGAACTGGACTACGCACCTCACCAATCAAATCTCTCACATCGCTATTATTACTTGATTTTTCCCTCTCGAGGATCCCATCGGTGAGAATCTGACTTGCTGTAGATTGATATTGGCCCGGTGATAATATTCTGTCTAGCTTGGCATTTGCCTTGTCTTCCTAGACACACCTGCGATCCCACAACACCGTGTCGCCTGATTCGTCGCAACTACATCCTCCGGCCGATTCTCAAGACTCAAGCCCTCCCTGACCCTCCTCCCAGCTTCAACCCTCCAAGCTCAAAATACGCGCTTTGCATTACGAGTCGACGGAGCAATCAAACCGACCCTTCACACGCTTATTTGCTAATTTGCCTAATTTGATCTACCGACCCCAAGCGTCGGTCGTCAAGACGATCCTCGCACTCGACGATTCTTTTTTCATTTTCAAGTTCCTCCGTTTCACCGTCGTCGTCGACTCGTAAAGAAACGTCGTTGAGGCACGTCACAGGAACAGCACCGGAAAGGGGTCCACGCTACCCACCGACGCGCTGTGGAGTAGCTGGGAAGGCTCACACGCACCCCCGCACGCACGCAAATAACTTGCACTTACACTTGGGGCGATCGCACGTACAAGATGCTCCGCCGCCAGCGCTCGCTCATCGCGCTCATCGCCGGCTCGTCCACGACCAACTTGGAGCGCGAGGACACAGTCCCGCCCCTGCCCAGCGCCGGAGTGTACTCTAACGGCACGGCAGGGATCGCCGCGGATGCGGATGCGCGTGGCGGGAGCGTCGGGAAGGCTGGGGGTGGCCTGTTTCGCCGTGTCTCGAATCTCTTGAAGTCGGGGAGTAGAGACAATTCGCATGGTGCGTCCCCTGCGTCTTTAACCTGCGTGCGGAAATGACGCTAATGGATGTACGTACGCAGGCTCCCCCACCTCCGCGCGGTACCGCGCCGCCTCGTCGACGCCGGACATACACGCGTCTGGCGGCAGCCCCGTCTCAAGTAACGCCCCGAGTATCGGTGGAGGCAAGTTGGTGAAGCGGCCCTCCGTGAAGGCGCGCAAGGAGGCGCAGCAGCGGCGCATGACGGGGATTGCGGAAGGCGAGGCCGCGCGCGACCGCGACACGGGCGAGGAGGCGTTCGCGAAATGGCGGCGCACGAAATCCGCGTCCGCGACGATGAAGTCGATGGGCGTGGGCACGGGCGTGTCGTCCAAGTCGGTCAAATCCGTAGGCGTGTCGAGCACGAAGAGCAAGAGCAGCAGCCGCGCGCCCCTGCCATCCTCGCGCTCGGGGTCGGCGTATCCGTCTGAGGACGAGGGGGGCGCGGAGGAGGAGGAAGACGACATCCGCCGCCCGTCAGGGCTGGGGCGCGCGGCGTCGCTGAGGGAGATGGAGAGACGGTCGATGGCGAGGGAACGTGCTGCCGCTGAATCCGAACCCGGCCATGGGCGCCGCATGCGCGGCAAACACACAGACGCAACACACACGCCCTCGCACGCGCACGACGCAGACTCTGCGTACGCCTCCAATGACTCCGTGTCCGTCTCCGCCGCCTCTGTCTCCAGCACTATATCCTCTTCCTCCGACGGTGAGGACGATGATGAAGACGACATACGGCGCCCGTCTGGCCTCGGGCGAGCGGCTGAGAGTCTGCGACTAGACGACGACGAGGACGACGCCCCGCGCACGGCCACGCGCGCGGCGTTCCCGTCTTTCCCTCACGATTCCCCATCACCGTCTCGAAGCCCAAGCGCACGAGTGCGCGCAGTGTCCTCACCGGCGGAGGTACAGAGCAAGCTCACAGCACTGCATGCGATTCTTCGGCTGCCCCCGCCCCCGCCTTCGCCTTCCGCCTTTCCTACCACCACCACGTCTACTTCCACCCCCGGTAGCTCCAGCTCCACATCCGTCCTCAACTCCGCATCCCCGTCTGTTACAGCCACTTACCCCTCAGCCTCAGCTTTACCAAACCCCTCTGCCGCGTCGATATCAGCGTCGGGACTGCCGTCGACCATATGGGCCCGCGTCCTCGCGCACGCGCCCCTCCCCGACGCCGCGCGCGCGGCGCGTGTGTGCGGGGTTCTGTGCGGCGCGGCGCGGGGGCGGTTGTATGGGGTTGTAGATCTGCGGGTGGGGGCTTCTTCGGCGTTCGAGTCGGCGTTTGAGTCCTCGGGAGATGATTTCGCATCCGAAGGGCAGGATGGAGAGGGCGACGCAGGACACCACAACGCGGGGAAGGAGGAGGAAGGGGAAGAGCGCGGTAGGAGGAAGGAGGGGAAGGAGAGAGCGCTGCGCATGCCGCATCTGGCGGCCAGGGTGGAGGGTGTGGTGTGTGCGGGGTGGCCGCCGTGGGAAGGGCAGGTGGGGATGGAGGTGTGTTCTCTGTTTCTATTGCTTTCTGAGAAGAGGGGACGAGAGGGAAGATGGGATATCTTTCTTTTACATGCGGGGAGCGTTCTCCTCGGCTTCAGTGGATACACTCCCTTCGCAATTCGTGTTCTTCTGCCCCGGATGCCTTTTTTTGCGGTTGGGTTGCTGCGCTGCCGCTGTGCTGAAATACAGTCTTCCACTTCGACTGCAATGGTCCCTCCTTCATTCACTCCTCTTTACACCTCCCTTCTTTCCCTGCTTGTCCTTCCTCTACCGACTACTGACGATTATATGTTCTTGGCAGATCCACCTCTCCACCCTGCGCAGCCTCACAGTCTTTCCGCCGGAAGATACATCAAGCAGGCCATCGTCTGCCACACCCAGAACGCCGACCACGTCATCACCCACATCCCTGGCACCCCGAACGTCCACCGCCCCACGCATTGATCCCACGCCTGCCCTCATCGCCTTCCTCCGCGCGCACCCGACGATCGAGCGCCTTGCCATCGTGGGAGGCGAAGACTCCGGCTTCGGCGACGACACCCCCAG